GGGATATTAAAATTTTGGACCCTAAATAAAACCTTTCACTTATAATTATTTAAATTTGGATTTAAAAATGATAAGAAATTCGATGCGTTAAAATATTCGGGATTGAATTTGAGTTGAATGGATTTAAACTGGTTTTATAATAGCTAGACGAACACACTTTAACTTTAAAATTTGGGTTAAAGTTTAGCGACACGTTTTTCAAGATAATAATTTAAAATTCTTGGTCGCTACATCATTGATCTGCTTAGTACTTGAGTCCCTAACATTTAACAATTTACCCCTAAGGGGAAACAATCCATAGTGGTCTCGCCCCACAACCAATAGACCAGCAATCTGCAAGATTCAAAGCAATTAAAATTACCGCCGAAGATAAATATCTTTCGTGAATATTTCAAAACTCATGAGCACGCTTACTGCAAGAGCGGCTGCAGTTCTCCTTCTGTCAAAATCAGGGTACAATTCTCAGAGTTTCTCCCTCCAGCATCATTAGCATCAGCTAGTTTTGTAATCCCAGATATTCTCTTGCTCTTTGTTCCATCTGTTTTCTTAAGGTCTTTCTTCTCCTTAAACTCTGCCCATACCATGATATTGCTCACTATCTCAGAATTTGCCATTGTCCAGAGTTAACCAGTGAACGTAATTACCAACCTCTAACAAAGTAATCACACTATTGATATTTTGTATAAGTACCGATCACAGACCTTTACTGAGGAACTTATCTGAGAGTTTACATCCAGAACCAAAACTTTTCTGGCGAAGCGTCAAAGTTTCTTTGGTTTGAGAATCAAAAGCAGGATTGTCAATAAGGCAATTAACAAATACCCACAAATGGTTCCTCACGGAATGGGGCTTGAGGTTGGCATTCTTTTTCTTCTTGTTAACATACTCAGCAAGATGATTTGCTATCTGATTAGTTACATAATCCACATGCGTCCCACCCTTAATTGTTGAAATCGAATTGACAAAGCTGACCTGGTAAAATTAACCAGTATATTACCAACTTTACACTTTTACTCCTCATAAATGGGCTTTGCCTTCCTTTGCCAAGTACCAAAGAAGAAAAGTTTTCAACTACTATTGTAACTATATTTTAACCTAGTGAACAATTCGTACTCTCATATCTGTTGAAATTGTCCATCACTCAGACTTACACAAACTTCCCACCTATCTACCTTTTCTTCTATTCTGCTAAATTATAATATCATTAGTAATCTCAAATTGACCAAAAGAAGCAATCACAGATAAAATGAGATAAAACAGTGAGATGGATCTAGGCTGGACCTGAAAGAAGATTTTAAGTAAAGGTTGCAATATTCGCCAAAAGATTTGATCCGAATGTCTTCGCCATTCAGCTCCACCTTTACAGTCTTTCCAAGGCATCCTGCCATGTCAACCACCCGCTTCTTCATCAGGGCAACCACATCATCCTCCAGATGAGTCATGTTGAACTTGGATAAGTCTGGCTTGAACGTGATCTTTGTCCAATTCTCGCCCTCTTTGCATTTTGATATAACGGGCTGAGTCTTATTTCCCATGTTACCAGAGAAAACCTTTATAAAA